AATACTGAAAAAAGCTTTTTCTTAATACTTCTTTTTTTCCCCTTTGAAGTAGCCAGCAAAGGCTTTTTTCTCAAATGCATGTTCATGGTGAGGGAAAAATGTGAAGGTTCAGAAGAGTTTATGATGAAAGCCCTCGTCCCACTTCCCACTCCCCCCTCCACCTCAGTTCCCTTTTCAGGGAAACCACAACAGTTGTTTCTGGTGGATTCTTTTAGTTTGCTTCTTTTGTTTCTTGATTTCCTAATTTTAAGCATTATCTATTGATTTTTCTGCATTGATAGTCAAGGTTTAATTCTCATTTACTGACTGTCAAGAATTATAAGGGATCTGAGATTTGACCCTACTTGAAGCTAACAAGTTAGCCTGCCACAGTTTCATGGATGCTGGTGGAAGGCACAGTTAGAGACGAAGTACAGTTTATTACTCCTAGCAGTGGCTAGAGTATCAGCATTCGTTTGTGTCAGTGTCCTGAGCCTCAGTTCCCACAGGGCCACATGATACCTGTTCACACAGTGGGTTTTGTTACTGAAGAAAACTCTGAGCTTAGAGATTTCAAGTATTTTATAATGGGCAGTAAGTGTGCCTGGCCTTGACTCCAGAGGAGGAGGATAGGAAGCATGCCTGCTTTTTGTTCTTGAAGAAAAGACTTTCTGTCTTGCAAGACTGTTTGCTATACGAACATCCTTGAAAATACAGTCAAGAACAAAGAACCGACAGTGTCTTTTCTGACAGACCTAGAGACCCATTACGAATTACTTCTTCACACAACTATCCCGTTACCCACCTTCTTTCTGCTGTAGTTCTGTCATCATTTTTAGCTCTCTGGTCACCTTGGTAAATACTATGTATTTATTTTTATTTCACTAACAATAGGTGGTGTCTTTTGACTTTCTGCTTTGAAAGAGGAGCATATAAGATAGGGATCCTTTTTAAAAATTTTTTTTAAACATTTATTTTTGAGAGACAGATCATGAGCAAGGGAGGGGCAGAGAGAGAGGGACACACAGAATCGGAAGCAGGCTACATCCAGGCTCTGAGCTGTCAGCACAGAGCCCCATGCAGGACTCGAACCCACAGACCGTGAGATCATGACCTGAGCTGAAGTTGGATGCTCAACCCACTGAGCCACCCAGGCGCCCCTAAGATAGGGATCCTTGTATGTGTTAGAAAAACAGCTCAACCATAACTTAGGTGAAAAAGAAAATTGGTTCCCAGAACTGAGTCCGGTTGAGGAGGATAGAGTAGGATAGGATCCACATGCTCAATCTTTGCTTTGAAGAGTTGCTCTCTTGCTGTTATCAGTCTAATTTTCTCCTTTTAGCTTGATTTTCAGGATCCTTCACACCCTGCCCACCCCCCACCCATTCTAGGCTGTGTGTTTTATTTCCAAACAAGTTATGGCAAGGTAGAGAGAATAGATTAGAATAGTTTAGAGCCTGGTCACATGCATACTCTTATAGATGGGTATGGGGTCAGCCCTATATGATACACATGTATTAGGGGTCAGCAGAAGGTAATTCTCAAAGATAAAACAGGATGTCATTACCTCTCCATATCAGAATTCTCAGTTGTATTCTTTTTTTGGGCGGGGGGAGTCATTTTTGTTTTTATAGTTTCCTATAAAACAGTTAAGTTGCATTTTTAAAGATAATATCAAATTTCTAGTATCTCCCTATTTCATAGTTAGCTTCCTTGATGCCCTCTATCTTCCTGCTCCATTCTGTGAGCTTTATTTAGAAATGCTGTTGAACTGACAGCCTGTGACTTGCCTTCATTATGCTCCTGTCTCCCATATATTCTTCTGGGATTATTGCTTTGTTTTGCTGGTGTACATGCTAAGGTAAGATGTGTGGGAGGTAAATTTTGAGCAATTCCATGTCTGAAAAGGTTTTTATTCTATTCTTAAACTGGAATGTTAGTGTGGGTGGGAATGGAATTCTAGGTTGAACATCATTTTCTGTCACATTTTTAAAGGCATGATTCCACTATTAGTGTCCTTCATTATTGGTGAGAATTCCTAGGCCAGTTTGATTCACGGTTCCTTTGTAGATGAACTGCCTTTTCTCTGAAAGCTTATAGTATTTTTTTTTTTTTATTGTCTGAAATTTTCCAGTGATATGTCCTGGTGTGGGTCTCTATTTTGAGCACTGAACAGGCCCTATTTATTGGAAGACTTCCATAAATCTATAAACTTAATCATCTTTTGTGGAAAACATATTTCTTTGGAAACTTTCTTCAATTTTTTTTTTTCATTCTGGAATTCTTTGTTTAATTATTTATTGAAGGATAGTTGACACAATGTTACATTAGTTGAAAGTATACAACATAGTGACTCAGCATCTCTATATGTTACACTGTGCTCTCCACAAATATAGCTACCATCTGTCACTCTACAGTGCTATCATAATAGTACCACTGACTGTATTCCCTGTTCTTTCTGGGCTTCTTTTTTTATTCTTATTTTTTAACATTTCTTAATTATTGAGAAACAGAGACAGAGCATGAACAGAGGAGGGGCAGAGAGAAGGGAAGACAAAGAATCTGAAGCAGGCTCCAGGCTCTCAGCTGTCTGCACAGAGCCTGATGCGGGATTCGAACCCACAACCTGCAAGATCATGGCCTGAGCTGAAGTTGGACACTTAACCCACTGAGCCATCCAGGTGCCCCTCTGGGCTTCTTAATCAATGCTGATCTCTTGGACTGATGCTCTGTCTCCTCTGGTAATTTTTTTGTCTCTGTTTTTGTCTACTTTCTAGATTTCATCTATACAACTTCAAACTTTATAGTGCCTATCTATCTATCTATCTATCTATCTATCTATCTATCTATCTATCTATTTATTTAGAGAGCATGAGCAGGGGAGGGGCAGAGACAGAGGGAGGATCCCAAGCAGGCTCTGCGCTGTCTGTGTGCAATCTGATACTGGGCTTGCACCACAAACTGAGATCATAACCTGAGCTGAAACCATGAATTAGACGCTTAACTGACTGAGCCACCCAGGCACCTGTATATTACTTTTTTAAATTGATATTTTATTTCCAACAGCCTTTTCTCATTCTTTTTTGCCTTTTCGCAGCATCGTGTTTTGTTTTATGGATGCAATATCTTGACTGTTTCTGAGGATCTTAATTACAAGGCTTTTTACAAGATCTATTATGTTTTATGAATTGTTTCTTTGTCACATTTCTTTAACATTTTGTTTCCTTGTCTCTTTCAAGTTACAGATGTTTGATTCTGATTTGACCAGTCAAATGGAAGAATGAAAAAATGTAAAATTGATTGGGGGATACCTAGGTGGCTCAGTTGGTTAAGTGTCTGACTCTTGATTGAAGCTTAGGTCATAATCTCACAGTCCAAGATCAACCCCTGAACTCTGCACTAGACATGGAGCCTACTTAAGATTCTCTCTCTCCCTTTCCCTGTGCCCCTCTCCTGCATGTGCTCTCTCACTCTCATAATAAAATGGATGGATGGATGGATGGATGGATGGATGGATAGATAGATAGATAGGGATCTCTGTACCTAGACAAGGTCTGTCAGCTAGTGAGCTTTGCATTAGGATGAGCAGTTCTGGAGCCCCATTATTCTTGGTCAGTGGTGCTAATGCCTGTAAGGGCTGCTGCCCTTCAGACAGTTTAATTTCATTAAAGAAGGATCTGCCAGTTTTAAATGTCTTTAATATTGTAAAATTTCAAAGATAATTAGGATTACGAAAAGAGTCAATTATATAGGGTCTAGAAATGTTCAAATAATCATCTTTCCTGCATTTTAGAGTGAAAAGTTTTAGGGTATAGGTAGTGTAGCAGAGAGCAAGCATCCCAGATGCTAGAGCCAGAGTGCTTGTGTTCAGATCTATCTGATTCTGCCACTTAGTTACACGTAGGTTACTTAACAAGTTACTAAGCCTCTCAGTGCCTGCCCACTTTCCTCATCTGGGATATTTAAATAATAATAATACCTATTAGGGATATTATGAGGATTTAGTTAAAAATGCATATTAAATACTTGGCATATAATAAATTCTCAGAAGGTGTTAATTTTTTTTTCTTTCTTTGCCAATAATAATTATGCAACTTAGATATGGTGATGATTGCCCACAGCAGAAATTTTGGTATGATTAGGTAACTTTAGATTGTATTTTTCTCTTTAGAATGTCAAAAAACACTTGGAGTCATTACTTGATGTGCTGAAATGTGTATGTGCAAATGTTTTCATAAAAGCCTTCGAAAGGTTCTCCTCCCCCACCTCCAAAGGATCTTGCTGAAGATAACTTGATAAGAAAAGTAGTCTTGGAGCACAGCCAGAAAACTAGGAATGAAAAAATACTATTTTCATGCCCAGAAACCTCTGTACAATCAGAATCATATGTGCTCAGGATGTTAGGGAAGCTTTGTTCCCATGCAAAACGTACTGACAGTCCTACTTCTTGGATTTCAGAAAATGTTGAAAGTTTCTTTATAAATCGATGTCTAGAGCAGGACTAGCAGGATGAAATAATTCTTGAAAGAATATTTTTTTGCTTCCAATATGCTCCCATTATGTGGAACACTGTGAGACTATCTTCACCACACTCTGCTGACTGTGAAATTCAGGTGAATTAAATAAAACTCTTGTGTGGTGGTTTCTGTCTCCCTACTCCCTCCAAACTTGACCCTTATTTGAACTAGGGGGTTTTAGTTTGAATTATTTATCTTGTTTTTTGTTCTTGTTTTTTTCCTCTCTCACATAGTGGAGGAAGTCCTTGGACTCTTATTATTGTTCCTGTTATTATTATTTACTTTTGAAATGCAGATGCACACAGAGTCAGTGAGCCTCTATTTACTTACCAGTTAGTTTCAACATTTTGCCATAGTTGTTTATTCTTGTCCCCATTTAAAAACAATTTTAAACCAAATTCTAGACATTGTGTCATTTTAGCCCTAAATGTATCAATATGTGATTTTTAACACATTTTCCCCCATAACCACAGGGCCATTATTTTACCTAACAAAATTAACAGATTACTCTGTTTGCCTAGCTTCTGAATTGTACTCCATATTAGTGTCATCCAATTCCTTTACATCATCTAAAACCCAGATGTATTCAAGTTAGTGGTATTTTTAAAGCATCTGTTTTTCCTCATTTACATGAAAATAATTTGTATTTTCCAAGTTCTTGATTTTAACTTACAGAAAGTTTCAAGCACATAAAAGTGCATGAAATCCATGTAATAACCCCCCATGTACCTACCACCCAGCTTTGACAGTTATCAACTCAATGCTCAATTTTCTTTCATCTGTTCTTCTACTTTCTTCCTCCAGGATTATTTTCAGACAAATCCCAGATATCATTTCATTTGTAGTCTACTGTATCGTTAAAGGACTACTTTAACCCTACTACATAAGGACTCTTAAAATATATATATACATATTAAAATATATATTTATTTACCCCCCACTCCTTAATATCATCAGATATCCATTGTTCAAATTTCCAGTTGTCTCAAATGTCCTAGGTTATTTTATTTATTTATTTTTCAAGTGTTAGTTTTTTTTAAAGCTTACACAAAGGCAGTTTATTAACAGAAAACAATAATTTGAGGAATCCTGTTCATAGACCACTGAAGAGCCAAAAATTAAGTCCTCCATTAAGAGAAACCTCAGGTTGCACGTAGCCCCAGTCCCAGTTCCAGGAAAAGCCTCAGACTGTAAAGGCTAAAGCCATCCTCGGACCGCCCTCAGTTCAGCTAATCAAAAAGAAAAAAGAAACACTCCTATGGTCTGAGTCAAGGCTGGGAACTGCAGATACAAACTAGCCAATTTCTCACCGCTTGCCTGAACCCCACGTGGGCCCTTTGAACTCACCTCATAATTGGTCATTTTCAAAGGATTCTCAAAAGTCATGATTGGGTCCCACCAAAAGTAATGAACACCTGACAGATACTGAATGGTCAAAGCTGTTACCAGGGGTGCTGCTGTACAATTGAAATTGGTGCTTATGTGATGATGCTACATGTACTGTAACACCTTCATCCCTTACTCCTTAAAAACCCTTTTTGCTTTTGTTCTTTGCTTCACCTTGCTGCCATGACACCTGTAGGCTGGTGAGCCCCTGCTCGAGCTTGTAATAAAGACCCTTCTGTATTTGCATCGGTGCCGGCTCCTTGGAGGTCTCTGGGACTCGCGATTCGGGCACAACGCCACAACCACAGCAACCCCCCATTCCTGTGGGTGCTGTTGGATGGGTTAGGGGTGACATCCTCAATCCCCCTGGTCTTCATTCCTGAGTGAGCAAGGGCGCTAAGGGCTGACTGGGCCCTAGGTTCAGGGGTCATGGTTTTATTTCCTCCTGTGGCCTGGAGTTTGATGTGGAGGACAGTGATGCCCAGGTCCGTGCACCTCTGGGTTACATCCTGGGTAGTCATCAAGGCAGCATAGGGAGAGGATGCATCTTGGCCAGCCTTCCCCTCCATCCCACCGGTCACATGACAGATAGTTACCTTGACAGAAAGATTGGTCACGTGGAGAAATGAGTCATTGAGAGATGTAAAGATGTGGTAGACACCAAACACATTTTCTCCTTCAGCTACCTGAGGTCCAAGGCTGACCTATTCTTTTCTTTCCCTTTGCAAGGAGCCTTATCTGAGCATCTCCTCCATACTCTGCCACTGGAAAGCTCAATGTCATAGTTTAATCAGGATCCACGTAAGGTCACTAACTTCCAGCTGGTGGGTAATGACTTTTTAAATCCTTTTTAATTTAGAGGTTCCCCCTCTCTACCTCTCTCTTATCCCTCTTCTGGTAATTTATTAAAGAAACCAGATTTGATCCTTTAGAGTTTCCAAGTCTGGATTTTAATGATTACATCCATGTGGTTTATGTTTATAACATGTTCTTATGTCTTGTCCTCTCTATTAAGCTGTTATATCACTGTTGAGCATACTAAATATTCTTGTAATTCTGAAGATACAAAGGTTACTACTTTGTAATACCTTTTGTATTTTATATACAGGTATATAATGCCAGTCACCATTTAAGGTGTGGCCTTTTCTATTTGGTGAAACAGTATTTTTATAAAAATATTTTAATCCCCCTCCCCCATATTTTATTTATTTTGAGAGACAAAGTGAGAGCTAGTGGGGGAGAGGCAAAGAGCGAAGGAGAAAGAGAATCCCAAGCAAGCTGTATGCTATCAGCACAGAGCCCAACATGGGGCTTGATCCCACACACTGTGAGATCATGACCTGACCCAAAATCAGAGACGTTCAACCAACTGAGCTACCTGGGCAACAGTATTTGTAAAGGGAGTTGATAGATAATTAGAAGTTGTAAGCCAGATTCCTTGGCACTGCAGTGGACTACTCTTCACCTAATGAAAAGCAGCCCTGTCGAGGCAACATTAAAAAGAATTTTGTTTATTAATGTTATGCATTATCTAGTACACTTAGCTTTATCTTCTTAAATTTGCAGATAGTGGAATTCCACTATTTCCTCATGTAAAATGAAGGCTATATCAATATCAATGGCCTTTGGTGGGTCTTGAATGAGAAAGCACCTAGTACAGTGCCAAGTATAGAAGAGACATTTAAATGTCCGTTTCCTTTTCTGTAAGCATGGCCATAATTGTGAGACTCTTCTGTCTTCAGTAGAAACTTTTAGGTAAAAAGCTGGTAGCCAGGAAAGCCATACCTTGTCTGAAGGGTTAGTTTGGGCCAAGAACACGTCTGTCAGAGTGAGCCAGGTGCACAATCTTAGAACAGGTTGTAGAATAGCTGGTTAGAACAGATGAGTCATGTCACATGTACCCATGTTCTGCAGTTCCCCCTTTCCCCCCAGCCTCTGTGGCTGCTGTCTGACAGATGGTATAGCAGAAGATGGCCATTAAGTCAGTTCTAGGAGTACAAGAAAAACTGGCTGAATTACTAGCAAGACAGAGCAGCAGAGGTGGCCATGGTAAACTAGGGACCAAGCATGCAGACCGGCTGAAAGATGTAGATATAGGTCCAGCAGCAAGGAAGGACAAGGTCGTTGCAGAGAAACGTGCAGAAAGTCTAATGAGAACAACCATGAAAGACCATTTCTTTTTTTTTTCTTCTTTTTTTTTTTCTTTCAAAATCTGGCTTCTTAAATGATAGTTTCTTTCATGAAGCCCTAAAATGATTTACTGGTAAGAGTTTCAGCTAAACTTCTAAGTTTGAATAACAGAACATCAAGTGGAGATGACTTTTGGAATTATTTTTGACAGCTAGAATCAGACATTTGGACCTGGGATAATGACCATCTGTTTGCCCCTGCTTGATTGTGTAGGAAATGTAAATGATGTTTAGCTAGTAGTATAGAAATTAAATTTACTTATTTGTTTATTTTTTCAGTTTTATACCTTTATTTGACAGCATTTAGTACTCACCCACATGAACTGTCTGTAGATTTTTGAGAGGGTGACAGGTGCATAGGTAACCAACGTATAGAGCGTGTTTGGTGAATTTTTATCCTCATTATGTTTTCTGGTCAACTGCGCACATATGTGGTACAGAACATTTCTTATTCCTGTTGGCCAGACAGCTTTGTTGAACCTGGTGTCCATGTGCACATCTCCTTTACGGCAAATTTCTGGATGTCTGAGTACCTGAGGAGCACTCTTCTTTTTTTTTTTTTTTTTTAATGTTTTTTATTTATTTCTAGGAGAGAGAGAGAGAGAGAGAGAGAGACAGCGTGAGCAGGGGAGGGTCAAAGAGAGAGGGAGTCACAGACTGAAACGGGCTCCAGGCTCTGAGCTGGCAGTCAGCACAGAGCCCAACGCGGGGCTCAAACCCACGAACCACGAGATCATGACCTAAGCGAAAGTCGGACGCTTAACCGACTAAGCCACCCAGGCACCCCAGGGACACTCTTCTTGAAACCCACTCCATGGATGTTCTTGTGAATGTTGATGGTGTATTCTCTGGCGACTACCTTGTTGATAGCAGAACAGCCCTTCTTCTTACTACCTTCTTTGCGGTAGTCATTCTGCCAGGGCCTGGTTGCAAAAAATAAACAAAACAAGAAACCAGAAGCAAAAAAACAAGAATAGTATAGAAATTTAAATGCACTTGCTCCCATCAAGTGATTGTCATCTCTTGTTTGGGGGAAAGCATAGGGATAGAGGAAGCTTCTCAAGGAAACTCCCTTTACTAGTTATTTTTCTCATAGTTAGCAGCTAATCTGAATACTCTGACTAGAATAGGCTTTATAATTATAAAGTAGTGCTAAGTTACTTATTAGCTATGGGAAACAAATTGTATGGTATTTCCTGAGTTTTAAAGAAGAATTGATTAAAGGCTAAGAAATCGCTTTTCCTTCTTTGGCAAGGTCCTTTTTAAATCTAATCTCACTAGTCTTTGGGCAAATACATCAAAGTATAAGGAACTTGCCTATGATTTGAACTACATCTCTGTGTCTTTCTGGTGAATAATAGAAATTAGTAAAGAGGTTAAGTTGTCGGAGCTTATAAAGAGATTCTGAGGCAAGTAAATCTTGCTACCAGTGTTTGCTCCTAATGTTCCTTAATTTAAGCAAGATAGTTTCATGTTTCTGTTCTGGAATAAACTCTGAAAACAAATATGTTGAGCATACTGGAACAGAGTAGAGTAGGAGAAATAGTCAAGGACATTGTACATTCATTTACCAGAGTAGAAGGTACCCACGGTGGCCTGTGTTATTCTAATACAATAGAACAACCTAGATAAATAGATAAAAAAATTTTTTATAATCAAGTTTACTCATTATTTCTGGGGGAAAGACAGTAAATGCACAATTGTAGGAGGTACAGGGAGAGAGAGGGAGACACAGAATCTGAAGCAGGCTTCCAGGCTCTGAGCTGTTAGTGCAGAGCCCAGCGTGGGGCTCAAACTCACAAACCGCCAGATCATGACCTGAGCTGAAGTCAGACAGTTAACTGACTGAGCCCCAATAGAAATGTTTCAATATGCATTAATTTATAGGGCTCTTTACAGAACCCACCTTTTAAGCATAGGCTGTTCATTCTTTCAGTGAAATGTTAAATGCCAACTATGTCTTAACACCATTACAAGAACTGACCCAGTTGTTGAAAAATGATTACACAAGCGTGAGCACTAATTTTGGTTTGCTTTGAACAAAGTATAGACAGGACCATTCTGTCTAATTATAGCATTGAGTGGGTACTATGCTAAGGGATCTGATCCTCACCACAACTCAAGTATCAGATTCAGAAGTAGTGACTCACCCTTCACTCAGGGCATGGAGTAAAGAAAAAATGGCTACTCTTAGAGTAGAATTAAGGCTTAACCAGAATTGAGGTGATTTTTTGGGTTTTTTGTGTAAATTACTATATCTAAATAGGCTGTGACACCATAATTTACTGTTTTTACCAAGTATCACAAATTAGGATTTGACAACTGGTGACACCTCCGACCCCCTGCTGGCCCTCCCATGGGAGCCAAACTAGGATTGGTGTTTCATGGGTGTTAGCCTGTGGGGAGCTGTTGGGAAGGGAAGAACTTGGATCCTATTATCTATTTCTATAGTTGTAAAATTTCTGGAACTTTTGAAGCCACGGGAACTTAATTCTCTTAATTTCCTTCTTCCTCATCTTGCTTCCATTTCTGCCCCCAAATAGAAATAATCTCATTTGTAAAAGAGAGCAAATAGTGAAGCAGCAGGTTTAGGCAGATGTTGTTAAGTGCAGAGAGCAGGAAGCCATGTTTACTAGGCCAGGTTACTACCTGAGAAGAAATTTGCCCTTAGAGAAGAGTCTGGGTACAAGGGTAGTAAAGAGAGAGACAATTTCAGTTTCCCTTGAGGACTGTCATTCATATGGGTCCTGTGGAGCTGATGTAAAGGAGTTATTTCATTGGACCTGTTGTAAGCCTCTTGTTCTGTGTCCAGGTGGATAAGAATTGTTTTTGTGTTTGTTTGTTTGTTTTGAATTATAGTGAGGGGTCTGTTGAGCACAGTGGAGCAGAGTGGAGTATAAGAAATAGTCAAGGGCATTGTACATTCATTGCCTGGAGCAGAAGGCACCCATAGTGGCCTGGGTTATTCTGATACAATAGAATACTACTCATTGGATGTAACAGGAGAACAACAAAAGTAGAACAATTCTCAGTTCCTTAAATTTCTGTAGTTTATTGGGAGATCCATGTATAACAGTAAATTTATTCACAAGTGAATTGAACTAGCAGGTTTTTGCTTGGTTGCTGTTGCAACCTTCACAGTTCCTTTCCCTAAAGGGAATCCAGTTGGACTCCTGAGAAAGGTTCTTGGTTTTGTCACCTGGCGTGGTGACATGCCGAAAAATACTTGAGATGTGCTTCATGTACCCTCATGAACTTGTGACCTTGAATGTACCAGGGTCTAATACTGGGATGGTATTAAATAAACTTCCTTTTGCATTTAGATTTTGAGGTTTGGAAAGCATGCTCTTCCTTCCTTTGATAAAAGTCTCTGAAGTTGAACAGTCTTTGTTGGTGGAATGCCTTTTTTCTGCCACTGGAGAGGTTCAGGCTGGGTGACCTCTTAGAGGGTGGGTTATAAAAAGGACTTAAATGTCATATTGGAAATAGGTAACCTTTAGATTATATACACATTTTGTTCATTTATAAAATGTAAAAAGTTAAAGATTTTCCCAAATCTAGAAAAATAAAACTGGGAAAAAATTTAAATGTCTTCTTTACTCTTCACCCACATTATTAGGTTTTCATAGCTCTAATCAGTATCTGTGTGTTTCCCTCCTTTGGAAATATGGTTACTTCATACATAACAGGTATAGTTCTTTAAAAAAAAGGGGGGGGGCTTCAAACTTTCTTTGCTTTCCACAATCCAGATACCTTTATGACTGTATCATAAACGTAAATAAAGCTTATCTTTAGTAATTGCATTTCCGGAAACAGCTTTAAGTCCTCCGCTTCAGGCAGTCAGATTTCGGAAAAGGATGTTTTTCTTTTGTTTTTGTTTTTCAAATGTATTTATATACTCTAGTAGTATTTGCATCCACATTTTATTTTTAAAATATGTAACTTATTTCATTTGTATGACAAAGTAATTTGTTCAGCTAAAGCAACCAACCAAATAAAACCAACTGTTGTCCTTTATTTCAGTTGCAACTTTGGGGAGCTTTTTTCCTTGGTTTTCTGACATATTTCAGGCTATTTTCAAGTTGTCCTGGTATGCTTAGGTTTTAAGAAACTGGCCATCAGGGGTGAAAATGGCAGAATTCTATATCCTTAAATGAACTTACTGACTCATTATTTGCCCATCTCTGCACATCTTTTCAAGAAAAAGTAGATTTGCTAACATCATTGGACAAGGGGCACAAACAAAGCATTATGCTTTGGAAGATAGCAGCTGTTTTAAATCATCATCATTCTCTTTTGAAATACAAAATAGCACTAAAGAGGAGAGGTGCGAGGTTGCCCCGATATCACTACAGAGTTGAATGTCTCCTTTGCAAGCTGTGTCATATAATGGGCTTCTCTTTATTAGCTTGTCTGAATATATTGGTGTCTCTTTTTTTCAACTTATGGCTCACCAGTGTCTCTGTGAGTGGCTGTATGAACAACAAACCTCACTCACTGGCCTGTGTTGTCTTATGCATGGGCCAAATTTCAACCATATTCCAGTGATGAACCTACTTAACAACTTATACTGTCCCCTTTAGGAATCAACTGTCAAGATCTATACCAAAGGATATTTAGCAAAAGTAGGAATATGACTTTGATTTTAAGTGTTGGAAGTTTACATTAGGGGGGCTTATAAACAATTTTTTGTTTTCATTTGACAAATTCTAAAAAAAATTTTTTTGAGTTTATTTATTTCGGGGGGGTGCCTGGGTGGCTCAGTTGGTTGAGTGTCGGACTTAGGCTCAGGTCATGATCTAGCTGCTTATGGGTTTGAGCCCCGCATTGGGCTCTGTGCTGACAGCTCAGAACCTGGAGCCTGCTTCAGATTCTGTCTCCCCCCGCCCCCACTCCTCCCCCACTCACATTCTGTCTCTCTCTCTCTCAAAAATAAACAAACATTTTTTTAAAAAGTTTAAGGTTATTTATTTTGGTTTTTTTTTTTTTTTTTTTATTTCTAGGAGAGAGAGACAGCGTGAGCAGGGGAGGGTCAGAGAGAGAGGGAATCACAGACTGAAACAGGCTCCAGGCTCTGAGCTGGCAGTCAGCACAGAGCCCGACGCGGGGCTCGAACCCACGAACCGCGAGATCATGACCTAAGCGAAAGTCGGACGCTCAACCGACTAAGCCACCCAGGCGCCCCTAAGGTTATTTATTTTGGGAGGGAAGATGGGCAGAGAGAGGATTCCAAGCAGGTTCCACACTATCCGTGCAGAGCCCAACACGAGGTATGAGCTTCCAAACTGCAAGATCATGATCTGAGCTGAAATCAAAAATTGGACTTAACCTAATCGATTGAGCCACCCAGGGGCCCCTAATTTTTAAATTTTACTTGAGAGACAGGGAAAGTGAAAGAGTATGTACAAACTGGAGAGGGGCAGGGGGGAAGAGAGAGTCCTAAGAAGGCTGCATGCTTCTTGAGGAAGCTGATCCTGGGCTCAGTCTAAGGACTGTGAGATCATGACCTGAGCTGAAATTAGGAGCTGATGGCTCTACCAACTCAGCTACCCAGGTGCCCTTGTTTTCATTTGTTTCTTGTTGTTGTTAGTAGCTTAAAGAAGTGTTGATTCTGTTAAGAAAAGACCTCGGATGAGCTGAAATTTGAAGTGTTTATAAAGATAGTTACCTGTTTGGGGTGCCTAGATGGCTCAGTTAGGTAAGTGTCCAACTCTTGATTTTGGCTCAGGTCATGATCTCACATTTTGTGAGTTTGAGCCCCATGTTAGCCTCTGTGCTGACAGCGTGCGTGGAGCCTGCTTAGGATTCTCTCCCTCTCTGTCTCTGCCCCTCCCCAGCTCACATATTCTCTGTCTCTCTCTCTCTGAAAATAAACATTAAAACAAATAAAAGAGATCATTCCCTGTTTTGAGTGCTCACGGCATTTTTTTGTGAAGCATTTTACATGCATATGTGTTAAGGATGCAAGATTTTTCTTGTCATATTATTAGACCTACAAGTGAGGTATTCTTTAAAAAAACAAACAACTTCCAGGGAGGTTAATCAGCTAAAGTTGAGAACAATTGTTTTAGGAAGATTCACAGATATGTGGGACGCCTGGCTGGCTCAGTTGCAAGAGAGTGCAACTCTTGATCTTGGGTTTGTGACTTCAAGCCCCACATTGGGTATAGAGATTTCTAAAATAAACAAACAAATAAACTTAAGGGAAAAAAAAGAGAAGATACACAGATACCTGGCTTGGGTTTCTTGGTGGCTGGTTATCCTTCTTGGAGAGAAGATATGGAAAGGGGCTTAGTGTGTAAAAATTGGGTTGGATTGGCAGTTGGAAATAGGATCTGAAGCCCAGAGGCAGTTGGTTCTAGAGATGAAGTATTGGAGAATTACTGGCAGCTAGATGGTATTCAGGGTTTCAGGGGTAGGTAAAATTGCCTTAAGAGAGCTTGCATGATGAAGAAAAGATGCAGAATCCTAGGGAACCTTGAAATGTTCTGAGTAGGAATAAGAGAACAGATACATAGGTATTCAAAAAAGAAGCAGGAACAACAAAGGAAGCCAAGAGAGAAGATAGCATCAGGTTACAAGGAACAGAGGTGCCTGGCATATGGTGGGTGGCTCAATAAATACTTGTTGCAAGTAGAATTTAAGTTTCCACTGGATTATCAGGAGATTGCTTGGTAAAAATTTAATTGGGAGTAGTATTTTTCCTATCTTACTCTAAGGCTTGTCTTGTTCTCCTTTGTAAGTTCCTTATTCTCTGCTTTAACAGAGTTTTTTAGGGCTTTGCTATAGGCCATTGGTTCTCCCAAGTGTGGTTTCCCCAGACCAGAAACATCAACATTACCTGGGAACTTGTTAGAAGTGAAAATCCTCAGGCCCTACCCAGATCTACTGAATCAGATGCTCTGGGGATGGGGCCCAGCCATGTGTTTTATAACAGACCTTCCATGTGATTGTGGTGCTTGCTCAAATTTGAAAACCAGTGTCTTGAGACTTTTTGTCTATCTGTGCTTTCTCCTTAGGCATTTAGTGTTTTTTTTTTTTTTTTAATCGAGGCTTAAATTACCCTGCCATGTGGCAAAACTTCCAAATTTACCTCTTTGGTTCAGTTTTCTGACGACCAGGTCCACAAATCTAATTTGTGTCTTACTCATTTTGATTTGGATGTCTCTTCTTCCTGCTCAATTTGTCCAAAACTGAAGTCAGAATTTTTTTCCCAGTAGTCTTTTCTGGGACTTAGTAGTAGACACTATCATCCATGTGGATGTTCATGCTAGAAATTTAAGCTTGATTCACTTTCTTACACAAATACTAACAAGCGTTAAGCACGTTCTCTCTACTGGTATAGAAGACACATGCACGTGTGCGCGCACACACGCATGGACAAACAAAATGGCGATAATGAGTGCCCCCCAAGTTAAATGTGAGACCATCTTTTAGGAAGTGTCAATTCTCAGAGCTGCTAGTAAGTGATGAGCTTGCCTTGCTGAGTGTGATTCTAGGTTTTGAAGGTTAATAAGTATTATAAAACATGGTTTCTCAACTCAAGTACTTCATCTTGTGCTCAACCAAAGGAACTTGTGTGTAAATGTATAACATAATCCAGTTACTGTTACTGGAGAGAATATACAAAGCTATGTCTGTTGTAGTCCATAAACAATTCCAGGGAAAGGTGAGTTATGAAGTGTAGGACTCTGGGGCCAGAATGTTTTGGTTAAAGTCATGATAGCACCACTTGCTGTGACCTTGGGCAGGTTAACCTTCCTTCACTATGCCTCAGTTTCCTTAACTGTAAAATGGAGATAATAACCATCCATACCTCAGAGCTATTGGGATTAAATTCATAGTATTTGAGACTTCGGAGTAAACAGTGCCTGGCACATAGGTAAAGGTTCAGTAAATGTAAGTTGTATTATTACTCTCTCTCACCTTGTCACTCTACTTCAGCCATTCTTGGATTCTCTTAGCTACTAGTACCTCTTCAGCTCAGACATACCATGCACTTGGATGCTTTAAAATGCTTAATGCATCCAGGTCTTCATTTAACCCTCCTGTGATTTCAGATTCAGTTAGGGTTCCTTTTATAGGTTTCCTTAATACCCTGTACTTTTTCACAGTACTTTGTAAACATTATGTTTTTAGTAGCAGCTTTATTGAATGTAATTCATATACCATACATTTAACCTATTTAAAATGTGTAGTTCAGTGCTATCCACA